ATGATAAATTATAATTAGTAAAGAATTTGGTTTTAATATTACAATCTGAGCATCTTCTAATTTACAATTGTTCAAGTAATGTTTCATTAGACAAATTAATCATTCAAATATATTACATTGACTGTGAGCTTTCAACAACAAACAAAATCAAAACAAAAAAAACAAAAAAAAAACTAATTTAAAAAAAAAATTAAAAAAAAAGCAATCGTTACATCTACGCATAATCTTATTAATAACATTGTGTCTCAAGAAACAAAAAACTTGCGAGTGCACAAGTATTTAAAAATTGATCTCTTAAAACGCTATTTTCGTAACGAGATGCAAACTTATCGATCGCTTGACACTTTTCAACTTTTCCATTTACATAGAAAAGGAAATAGTATTATACAAAAACTATTTTCTATTCGTGCAGTGTTTGAATGCATATCGAATAAATATTTAAATTATAAGAAAAATTAAACTAACAATAATTAAAGAGAAGCCCACTTGGTTTATTTACCAAACGAAAGGTTAATAATATAAAAATGACAAAGAATCGCCGTTTCTTGATGTTAAAACATACGGTATTATTACAATTTAACTTGACAAATTAAGTAAATAAGCTGCGTGATAGGAAAATCTAAAGGATCTGCGATGGTTTAACACCTGATAAATTAATTACAGCGAGCATCAATGTGTTTCGATATGCGTTTTTAATTTTAACAGTGTATAAATAATATGAAAAGGAGAATTATAATAAAAAACGAACTATTTTATCTGTAAATATTCTTCAAATAGACAGATAATTGTGTTCTATATAAAAAAAAAAACAAAAACAAAAACAAAAACAAAATACATACCTAGATTTGTTTGCGAGAAATTGACACGAATCTCTTAAATGAGTACCTAAAGTAATAATGAATGGGTGTATGCGAGCGCGCGTGTGTATATGTATGTATGCATGTATGCACGATTGATTCTTATTGGATTACAGTTACGAATTAAACTTGCATTAGGCTTTTGGATAAAAAGTAAGAAATACACAAAACAAATAAATGTTTAATATATTCTAAAAACAAAAACAAAACAAAAAAAAATGTATTGATGCAAGAAATGGTCATCATCCATATTTTGAGGTATATAGATGTGCGAGAGTGTATGTTAAAAGTACGCGTTATATGTCAATTCAAAACTTTCGCTAAAATGAGGTATGGTCCAGGTGATTTGAAAGGAAAAAGCAATTATACGTACAAATAAACAGCTTCTTCTATGAAAATCCAAATAACAAAGAATAGAAATAAACACTTAGGTGCATTTACAAACAACTATTATCCTTGATAAGCGTCACCTAACATGTGGAAAGTGTAATTATATTAACCGTTGCACCATTAGATTAATTAAAACGACGGTTAATCAGAAAAGCTTCATATTTTCTTGCACTTAATCAACTGTTTTCTAATAATATTATCGAATAATACTCGTTGAAGGCAAATTCATTTATATGATTGATGAAAAACATTGATAGTTGAAACATTATGTAATTCATTTGATATATACTAAGTGAAAATTAAATTTCTTCTAATGATTTTCATGCTAGTTTATGGTGCAGCTGCATGTATTATTGTTAAAATCCCGCGATACCTCATTTTATCAGCGAGATGAAAGTAGAAACCGCAACCGACTTGCGGCCAACTCTTAATGTAAAAAATATATAGAGCAGTCTACAATGTGTGAATATTTGCATGCAATATGCAAACAACTGTCAAAGGAACCGTTAACAACAAAAAAGACAGCAACAAAAAAATTATAGCAAAAAGATTTTTAAAAAGTATCAAAAAAAAAAAACAAAAAAAAACGAAATTTTACGCGTAGGATATGGTTAAGACATAGTAGGGGCTTCGACAAACCCTTTTTTTTTTTTTTTTTTTTTGTACCTATTAGTTGATAGATAAATGCGAATCGTAAAATGCGGAAAACTGCATTGCGCTTACTTTACGGCACGTCTTTTAATATTGCGCCACGGGAGATAAAAGAAAACAAATAAGGATTAAGGATGTGCATTTTTCATTAAACGAGAATACGAACTGATACGTTATTTGATATAGATATATGTATGCGTATGTGTGTGTGAGAGTGTGTGTGTGTATATATATATATATATATATATATATATTGTATATTTTAACGTCCGATAAAACGATAATGAATGGGAGGCAAAGAAAGAACATAAATGCAAGAACCGCAATTTCACGCAAGTTATGCTTCACCTGTCCAGAAGAACCATTGATACGTTCGTCTCACACTGTGTACGCGTGTGTGCGTTTGTGCGTTTGTGCGTTTGCATACGTGCGTGCGCGTGTGGGTGCACGCGTGTATGTAATTAAGGAACATCACATTCGATAACAATGTTATTCGATGTAATCTATTTTAATAAGAAATAAAGCGCGTCTTAAAGTTAACCGAGTCTATATATCCTTTTCAAACAATATCGCATGATATAATGTTTTAATAAAATTTTGATTTTCATAATTTTTAAACTTGTAAAAAATACAAATTAAAACAATATCGATAACCAGATCCCTTATTTATTCATAATTTATCTATAATCTATTTCTCAGAATTATAATAACTTTAATAATTTCTATTTTTATGTAATATAAAATTAATTTTTACTCTACCTACATTATCATTTCGTTGAAGCTTTCATTTTTCGTAATAATATTTGGAATTTTACAATATATTAAAATGTAACAAAAGATAAAGAATAAATTATTATGTAAATATAGTTTAAGTAAAAATTATCATTCCGTATTCATTGGTCTGTCTGTCTGTCTGTCTGGCTGTGCGCGCGCGCGCGCGTGTGCGCTTGTGTGTGTTAAGGAACATATATTTAATTGACATTTGTACAGAAACAATATATGAAATTTATGAAAGCTGTACCCTAGCTAATCATATAATGAAGTAGAAATCTAATTATATTTAAGCTATCGTCCTTTCTTTTGAGATATCATCAAAATTGATTAAAAAAAATATTTAAATTATACGTAAATACATTATTCTTCATTTACAATGATCAAGATACACAAGTGTATTTAAATACTTCATCTTAACGATTTGTCCACTTTATAAATAAATAAATAGTATGCGCTATTACAGATATCAGAAAGAAAGAATATTGTAGAATTATCTCGAGTAGGACCTTATAATTATACAATACAAGTGATTATAATCTTTTATCATTACTATTTATATAATTATATTTCATCTGATTTTCTAAATATGCAGGACATTATTGCTGAAATTATTTTTGAATCGCTGAAAGTATTGTTAATCTCACGAATTAATCGACAGTTAAATTATTCAAGATTAATTTTCTTTTATGTATGAGTTTAAAATATATTTTTAACTGCAAATTATGTATTTTGCGCGCGTACCCACACGTCACGTAGTGTGTAAATAAATGCACACACGACTATGTTATGTAGAAAATAATGATAATAATGATAATGATGATGGTGATGATGATGATTGTGATTATGATTATAATAAGATAAAGATAATAACAATAACAATAAAATTTAATAAAAATCCTTTATTTTATAATGCAAAATTACTTGTGCGTAGCTAATTCTTCTTCTCCTGTCTTTCTGTCTGTATATTAATTAGTTGATAACGTTTATGAAATTGAGCTTAAGAATGAAAGAAAGTGAGCAAATTTTTTGGAAAAAGTCTTATATTATGCATGAAAAATAATATATCATATAAAAATATTATATAGTTATAGCTTTGTAGAATACAATTAGCCATGGATATTTGGATTTTTTACATAGAAGAGCAATTTACCTTCGTTTATTTTCGATTGTTTTTTTTTTTTTTTTTTTTTTTTTTTTTTTTTTTGTTTTTTAGCTTCTATCTCACTCGGAGAAATTAGTTTGATCCAAGATGCTATTTTTCTGTTAGTTTTCTCATGTGAAATGCATCGGTTAGCTGAGAATTTCTCGTTCTCGGTAAGAAAAAATAAGACTTTTTCAAAATAACGTTTTACAACAACATCCCGCAGGTTGTTTGGAAGTTTCATGAAATACGATCGAGATTTATCGAGATTTTTCGCGATACAACCCGTTCACGATTTATATGTTAATGATCGATAATCGAAATGAAGATTGGAAGAAACAAAATGATTACGTGCCTATCGACGGCCCAAAGTCGATTTCATGCAACTTCCCAATATTCGGTGGAATGAACAAGGTGGTGAGAAAGCGTGTGCGTGCTCGCGTGTAGGTGTGGGTGGCTGTGTGCGAGAGAGCGAGTGAGTGAGTGAGAGCGCTGACGTTGGGGTCTGCTTACAGGAGAATCGACGTACTTGTGATTTTGAGACTTTGACTGATGGCCGGACCCAATGAGTGGCTTAGCTCCTCGTGCACCCGCAAATGACGATCGTCTCCTCCTTCAATTAGCATCTTCGCTCGCAGCGCGAAACAGCCAATCTTCCTCCAATCGGCGCTGGCCGGCCGATCGAGCCACGCCACCCACGCATTAACGCGTTTTCGATCGCCCCGCCGATTCCACCCACGTCCTCCTCTCCCGTCCTTGATACCCCTTGTCGGCTGCACACGCCTCAACGGCCTGCGAACCACCAAATTAACCAATTAGCATCCTCGCTCTCGTGCTCATGCTCACGCTGCCGATGCTGCCGATGCCGCCGATGCCGCCGATGCCGCCTCCACCGTCGCCGATGCTGCGCAACCTGCTACGCGTGCATTCCCCTCACCGCAAACCATACGCCAAAGTCGCAAAGTCCTGCCGCTCTCCACCACCAACTATCTTCGCCCTTACGTATCGCCGAGCGCCTGTCTCCGCCCCTCCTCACCCCACCCCCGGGATCCGACTTCGATTCCTATACGTCGCACGCAAGACATCCGGGGACCAGCGATCCTTCGCACTTCCGAGGAGTCGCGAATACTTAGTGCACTAACCCTCGTTTTTTTTTTTTTTTTTTTTTTTTTTTTTTTTTTTTTCAGGCCCTAAGCTCTGCGATGCATCATCGAGTTGCGTGACGCGCGGGCCTCGGGGTAGGGGCAGTGATCAAATATAATGGAGAAAGAGCTCATCGGTCGACAGGGGGTCGGTATTATTACTCTGGATTGTTTAGCCAGGCACGTTTTTACAATATTACGTTAAAGCCAAAGAGACGCGATACTTGAAGTTTAGTACGAAATCGAGTTGGAGGAAGCTACGCCGCAACGCGTTAAGGGTTAATTTGAGCAGATGAACTTCCGGCATCCGTAAGAGTGTGAAATAGACGACGGTGCATTCGTTGTTTTCGAATACGATGCCATTCGGTGCTTTATTATTGGGCGAACGTGAAAGTGAAGACTACAGTGCAATGATCGCGCACGAGCGAATCCTTTTTTTGTTTGTGTGCGAAGGTGGAGCCTCTTTATTTTATTTTTTTGCTTTTTTTTCTTTCTTTTAAATTGGCCGTGTGATATTGCATCTTGGTCCATGCGACATATCATTTTTCGCTTTAAAACTAATTCCGTGTTTAGATATTGTCGTAATATAATGAGCCTTGTTCCCAAGTCCCTTCTCTTCTTCTCCTCTCCCTCTCCCTTTCCCGCCCCCTCGTCACTATATACAATTTATAAACCTAAGGCACGTCTGATTTAATTTTTTTCAGGCTACACGCTGAGAATGCCTGCTATCTAACACGCCTCTATGTTTATATATATTAAACATAGTTCCTCGTTATATATTTTGTAAACAATCTATTATTTATTTTTTATTTGTCTTGCCGCGAAGGACTATGGTAAGCCATAATACGAAAATAAAAATATGGTCGTGATGATGATGATGATGATGACGACGATGATGATGATGATGATGATGATGATGATGATTATGGTGATGATAAAAGCAAAGTGATATAACGCGCGAGGGCTCGTAATGAAAGCCACTATTAATAAAGGTCGATTAGAGATATAAATTAAGTCCTGAAGATATAATTTAAGTATTCTTCGAGGTAAACGTTTATAAATATATTATAGCAAACGTATCCATTATCTTTCTCCGAAATTTCTATTTATTTATTATATATATATATATATATATATATATATATATAATATGTGTGTGTGTAAGCGCAGTGAATTGCATTCTGTGGTTATCTCATTTTTGGCATAATTTAGATAGTAAAGAGTCAAATTTCTAGAATTCTATCGCGCAATTTTTTACATGTAAATTACTCGTTTTCTCTTTTCTTTTTTTTTCTTCTTTTTTTATTATTATCATTATTATTATTGTTGTTGTTGTTGTTGTTGTTGTTGTTGTTATTATTATTTATAAAATCGGCCTCTGTAGAAATGAAAGTACAAATCTTTATTTACGGATTAGTGAATGTTGTCGCTGTAATTTGTATAAAAAAAAAAAAAATATATATATATATAGATGTCTTTATATCGATCGACTGTATTTTATTATTAATGATTATTAATCATTGTTTCTATTTTAGCGTTGACTTTAATTGACAATTCGTACTTGTATGTATTAGTGATTGAAAGTACAATTTTGGAAAAGCGCTGTGCATTGAAGCTCTCTGTGCAGTGGTCGCGAAATTTTTTTTTTTTTTTTTTCGTGCTATCATTTCCAATGAATTCATATTTATTGAGCGTCGAATTTATGGCGATGATAATAAATTTTCTTATTCATTATGACAACGAATGTGTTTGTAAGCAATACTCGTAGTACAGATATAATGTTACAACAATATACACAATTTATTATCATGGTATGAATTAATTGACTTTTACCACTGTTGGACGCAAGGAGCCACAAGTGCAATATACATTTCAAATTCGTCGATTGTTCTCTTAATTAAAAAAAAAAAAAGATCGTTTCCTAATCTTGTAAGCTTTAATATATGAATTAATGTTGTTAGTTACTTGTGCACTTAAAGCTCGAACAGTAGCAAATTCAACGGTTCAATTCATTATCTAATAATTTAAGAAATTCAAAGGTTTAGTACTATAAAAGATTGTCCATGTTTTTAAAGAAATTTTGCATTGTTTATAATTATTTAATGTATAGTCAGGTTTATTTCTGTTCTACGAAAAAATGTAATATGGTATTTTTCTAATAAGCAAAATATTCAACAACGCGTCTTCATTTTGATATTTCAAGAAAAACAAAAGCATCTTACCTGAAATGTTTATATATAAATTATTTTTTTTTTTTTTTTTTTTTTTTTAAATTAAATTTACCTGAAGGTAAAAAATTTACAAACGTACGTATTCTTTATTAACCACTGCATTTAATTCGTCCACATCCAATCCTCCTCTCAATCCATATATATTATTTATAAATTAACAATACTTTGGAAACTATTTTAGTTTAAAAAATACGAATTTTATTAAACTTTACATTTTGTCACACTTATGAATAAAATACATCTAGACAAATAAAACAATAAAAGAAGAATTTCATTAAAAAATAAGAAAAGTAAATCGTCAAAAATACTCATTACTTGCTGAACTTGCGTAAGTATATATAGCTCACAACATACTTCTACAATGAAAGAATAATCGATTATTTAATTATTCTTTCATGTAAGTTTTTTAAACTTTATGATACTCGTGTATGTTGAATTTACTATATTTTTTTTTTTAATATAGTAGTCTATAATGTAACAGATATTTATTGAACTTTGTAATGTACGTCACTCTATTTCATCTTCCGCGTCCCCTTCCCCGATTAAAACCACCTCTGCCTCTGCCAGAAACTTTACCCTTGGGAGGTGGAGATTTTGGTCTGAGAGCTTCTATTCGTTCTGTACAACCAGTAGTAACTTGATTACTAGTAAAGTAACTATTGTAAATGTCGGTATTAAAATTGGTATTAGTTAGTTCTGGACCAACTGTAAGCCATCCGGGTCTAATAGTGGTGTCTCTACCAAAAAGGTGTAAGCTGAAAAAATTATTTCAAAACATTAATTGTCTCTTTCTATTTTATAACCAAAAATTAATTACACAATCTCTCAATGCTTGTATATCAAACTATATAAGTCATATTCAATTAAATTTACATAAACCCATGAGTTTATGTGATATTAAAATTTCGCAAACCTTACTCCAAAGCCTTTAATATAATTCATTCGAATAAGCACTCCAATGTTTTAAATATTTTCAAATACGCGTGTGAGAGAATGTATCGACAATTTTCATAAATTGAAGTTTTGAGTTTTGATTTAATGTTTAATAATGTGTACATTTGATAATATACACAATTTTAGTTTATCTCAATTGTAGGTTAAAATATAGAATTAATATTAGGTTATAAAATAATTATGAAAATCTTTTTTAAGTAATAAAAAATAATTTCAAAAAAAAAAGTTATTGTCTTTTTAAAGTCCAATCTTGTAACGATCTGTTGAATTTCACTGAACCTTTTCATTCACGGTTCCAATAGATATATGATAATTAATTAAGTCGTGCAGTTATGAAATTGTTTATATCAAAATTAGTTATAAAGGAAATTCTTGGTTATTGTAAATATATCATGAATTGCTATCTTACCGTCTTCTACCAAGACAGAAATGCTCAATAATATGAAATATTTCTACAGGCTTCTCAATAGAACCATACTCAGGTTCTTCAGAAATAATTAAATCAATATCAACATTGGCGTGAATAAAATCTCCATCCGTCGAACGCCTTACAGTCCCCTTAATACCCATTAAACAATGCTCTTTAGTTCTCTGAAGTACCGCTTTACTATCTAAATTTTTACTATGTCCAGGATTATTTATATTTGTCCGAATCCAACAAATGTCTTCACAACGTCTAAAACCCCACTTCCTCAAACAGAATCTTCCCATATCCAATCCATCACTACTACCACACCACAAAAATACAAAGCTTCGACTCGCAGACGCTTCACCAATATCTAATTCCATAATCTATAAAATTAATTGTAATTGATAAGTAGAACTTGTTAAATTGAAATAAATTAGATATAAATTATCAACCTGATCCCAATTCCACAGTTGTACATTTGTAGCACCACAAGTCCTTTGATACTCTTCTAACGGCGGTTCAATAAGAATCACATCAAATTTACAATTCAAGTCTTTTAAATTATACGTAAATAAGTCGGTTTTTAAATACATAGGCGGCGTAGCTGTTTCTGAAATTAAATCATCCTTTAATTTTATAAGCTCTCGAAGCTTCGGGTATTCTTCAAATCTGTCTGCCAACCCAACGTCTCTTATAAAATTCTGAGGCCGTTGACCCGTATCGATAAAATGCTGACAATAGTCATTATGTGGATTCGATGACTGCGTCCCTTTTAAAAACGTCGACGAATCCTTATAAACTATTTCGTCCGTCACAACTGTACTATTCTGTCTCTCCTTTGCTTCATTTTCAGTTTTACTCGAAGCCACTCTAATTTTTTTCTTCTGCGTTTCATCGATTTCCGTTCCCAAAATTTGACGTAATTCATCAACACTCGAAACCCCCAACTAAATGTTTAAACAATAACAAAATATAAGACATTATTTATCTACAAAAACATAACCTATAAGAATATTTAAATACATAAAGTACTGTTCAATTTTTATAATATATGTGTATTATTATATCTTTGCATTACCGTTTGGGCTAGTAATTTCTTTCGTTTCTGAGATCGTTCTCGCAATGATTGTAACATTTTTTAAAACTTAACTTATAAATATTATTATCTAAAATGTTGTTTCGTTGATTATTGAAATGAGACTACCACCAGTACAAACTGTGTTTCGGGTTTCAGTCGGTAATAGCGGTTGCGTCGATAAGTCCTTCACTCGTTATTTAATTATTTGGCTAAATGCCGATACGCACGCTAAGTTATACGCAATAATTGCCTTGCGCACATTAAAAACTGTCATTTTTAATATTCCACGTGCATCGATCACCATCGACAATTAAATTCTTCTCTCAGAACTCGAATTAATAATTGTCTGATTTAATTGATATTGCGGCGCAACTAACCACCCGAAGACTTTAGCAAAACTACTCAAAATGTTAATCTTACGATTTATTAATAAAAGCAAAAGAGAATAAAACCACATTTACATTCGTTCAATCAAAACTTTACTCGCATTAACGACTACTCACATTTATCGGCATACTCTATCCAAATATTATTCATATAATGCGCGAGAATTTTTTCGTGGCCCGTCGTTCATTGTGCATCAATGCTAAATTAGCCCTACTTAGCTAAGAATTTAAATTTCATACATGTCGTTCGTGGCGATATTTTACTCACTCTTTCATCGTTAAAAAATAACAATTACAAAGGAGAATGGCAGAGTTACGGCTATATTGCTCGGCGATTTCGTCGGGGGACGTGGATGCACAGGCTGCCGAGGACGAAAGAAAACTTCGGACACCTTACAATCCCGACTTTCATTCAGTCGGATTAACGGATTTTCCAGGCATTAAGAGGCGAGAAAAATCGATAGCAAATCATCATCTTCTCGTCCCACCCTCCTGCCCCCGAGCAAAGCATCCTTTCTCGCGAACACAAGAGCATTGCATGACTCGATGACGATGAACGTACGTAGCGAAGTACATTAAACCGGTAGATTTAACTCGATGGAGAATTCGAAGGAATTTCGTGCTTTTGTAGGACATCGTGTAGTCCGCAGCCCTTGTTTCCGCTCGTTTCTTGCAATTTTCCGTTGCTTAATCGTATGCTTCGCGTAGGCGTGTCCAACTTATCTCGCGTTAAATATAAATTTTCGTTTCAAGGTTCGTCGCCTCGCTGTCGATGTTTAACAAGCTTGTACTCGTTAAAACGTGCATTTCGCATACTTGATCGATCGTATAGCCAAAAGGACTTGTTGTCGTATTCGAGGATGATATTGAATATTTTCGTGGAAAAAATGGACGATCGAAGTAAAAGATTTTTGTATTCGAGACATTGCTTATAAATTTATTTATTCATATGTGTAATGCTTTGTGCTTGTACGAAGTCCGTATCGAAAGGTTGAGAAAGTAGATAATTCATTGAATCGCATCGATCGATATTAGCAATTAAAATGTTGAATTTCCTATTTGAAAATCTATCATGCATAATTATGAAACATTGTTGGTTCATAATACGCGATGTCGGTTCGTGACTTCCGATTGCTCTCTTTCCATATAAATCATTCTTATATTAATTTGGCATTCGTAATAGACTTTATAAACAAGAAATCCATGCATATGTGATTGGATGCATAACGCTTGCACATTACCTAGTTATAAAAATACTTTATTTATAGAATTAAATGGCAAATGTTACATTTTCATATTGCGAAGCGAAAAGCTTATAGAATATAGTTTACAAGCAATTAATTTATTATATGTTGGTCTAAATTTAATTTTCTGGCCTTACAATGTTTTTAATCGTAAAATATTGCTTGAGATTATTCGCGGTTTCCAAATTATTTGCGATATTCCATACCCAATAGCTAAGTATTAAATAATAATTTTTTAAGTATTGGCTTCGCAGATAATTGCAATTTTTATCCACGCCGACAAAAGGAATTTATTGAATGTCAGAGGCAATTATTAGCTCATCATAGAGTAATAATTGAATGAAAAGTGCTTAAATAAGTAATTCGATCATTTCAGTATTAATTTTATTATTGTTGTTGTTGTTGTTGTTGTTGTTGTTGTTGTTGTTGTTAATTAAAAGTATCGAATAATTAGAAAAATTTTAGCTATTCGATCACGTTAACATCGACCACTATGATAACTTGTTTAAAACTTTAGACTGACACCGATTGTAATATTTGAAGTGGTTTTTACTTTGTAGTTTTGTTTACTCGAGTTTGTTTCCTTGATGATTACAAGCTGCCCCAGTTGTTTCGTTTTTTTTCGTGTTTTTTTTTTTTTTTCTCCCATTCGTAGCGCATATTTATTGGATCTTTGCATATAGTTTTTTTTTTTTTTAAAGGTAAAAACAGCTATTGGAACTTATTGTCGTATTTTGATAAAAAGAGCATTGCAATGCTTGACAATTCATGGCGTACGATAGTATTATTGGATGAGGGAAATACACGAGGCTATCGAGCAAACATGAACCATTTCGATTTTCGCTCATTTCTTAGTATCAAAGGATATTTTATATAAATATTGAATAATATTTAAGCGGGGGAACGAAAGGCGCGTAGACGACATGAGAAATGATATTTTAATGGATGGTAAAAGGTGACGTTAGAGACAAACGCCCGGCATTACATCAGGAACAATGACAGGAAACATATTGGAGCAAAAAGAAAGATGAAAGAAGAAGAGAAAAAAAAAGGAAAAAGAAAGAAAGCCAAGAACACACGATGAGATATTGCTGCGATGAGACGCCAGAGAGTGAGTGAGTATGGGAGGGGTGAGGTGTAATAATACACCCGATTATCCATTTATCGCATGCACATATATCGTGGTGACAGGCGCTAAAGAGCACAGCCATGATCGCGTATTTAATATCGCTCGCAGATAAGACGCGCACATCACTCGTCGTGCGATGCCCCGCGCGTCTAATGTACAAAAATTTAGATATAAATACGAGAGCTCTTGAGACTTGCCCCCGGTCCCGGGGCTTTTCATCTTTGAGAAAACAATGAGGGCCGAGCGCGAAAGCCCCGACGGAAGGTGAAGAGGGGGGGGGGGGGGCTTGTCTCATTATCAATTGACCTTAATTGCCCCTCCCCACGGCGCTCTGCTCGTTATATTACGAAACGGTAATATAATAATACCCAAGTATCGTAGTGCCTTTCCATCCACTAATTGCGGATTCGTCTTATCTTGATGAGGTGCTCGACGAATGCTTCCTATCAATTTTCGTCGTTACAATCGCACGCGTGGAAGATGGAATTGTAGACTTTTTCTACACTTTGACGATTCATGATTCGAAATCGGCTCGAAATTTTATGGACGAGTGTTACATTTGCTCAAAGTGCGAACACTGCGAATTTTCCATTGGTTATTTCATTGACTATATGAGCGTTGTATGACATTAAATTAAAGTTAAATTTTGTCTATAATGCTATTCTAGTCTGTAAAATATTTTTCACTGTGCCCAATTGTGCTTCAAACAATTGACAATTATTTTTCTTAATTATAAGTTGAAACGCTTCTCGACTCTCGACTTTTTTTTTTTTTTTTATTCGAAAGATCCATCGTCGTTTGTACATGTATATATTTGTTTTTTGTTTTGGTGAAATAAAATTGTAGCTTAACATTGCATGCAATATACAGGAGGTAATTGTAATGTTGAATTATCGAATAAAAATTCAAGTGGTTTATAAAATTTCTTATCAAAATCTACGCGTTTGGAATACTTGGTAACATTTCCAATGGAAAGTTAATGTCTTAATATGACGAATGATCTTATTCGTTTATGATAAATGACGAAAATGACAAAATGCTACGATAATTTATGTATTTCGATATTATCTTTTGTATTTTTGAATATTTTGTTTTCAAAAATATTTCAAAAATACATTTTTGAAAATTCTAACACAAAACGTTTTATCATTATTTTTTTTTCTTTTGCTAATATACGTGTGTCTGTTTTTTTTTTTTTTTTTTTTTTTTTTTTTTTTCCCAACTGTGTTTAACTTAAATTAATTATCAAGAATAAAAAATCATTAATAAAAACATTGAAAAATTGTATTTAATAATTAAACAATAATACGTCATTGTAGAGATTGCAACGAATAATATATTACACAAAAAATGCAAAATTACAAACTAAAATACTTTAAATTAAAAATGAAAATAAATATATGTCCCCACGATTCTCTCGCAGTGACATTTATTTTTCTATTCATTAGTTTATGATATCATATCCTAAATAAACAATGTCCAGCTGAGTCACTCCGTTGTCGCTTGGATACAAGAGGCTAAGAAAAATGCCCACCGTACTTTTAACTAAGTATTACTCGATACTTTGTATAAAAATATCTATTTATATTTACTTGGATCTATGCATATCTTCATTGATCATGCACGATAATGGTGGAACAAAGATTTTCTAAAAATCCTTCTTTTATGTCTTTTAAAAGAAGTTGTTATTGATATATCCAGTCGTTTTAACTTCTCATCATTCTGCCATTATTGTAATTTAAATTTTAGAAATAAATTACTAATATTGATTATTAGTTTGCCATATATCAAATAAGACAGATTTATACGAATATTAATAAAGTCACATTTATTGTTAAACGCATGCAATCGCCTACGAGCTTGCGCGTGTGCGTGCGTGTTTGCTTTGGCGTGGCGCTTTGTGCGATGTACACTTTTCAGAGGTCGTCCGTACATCTTTTTCTTTCTTTCTTTTTGGTTCTTCAGTTCTGTCCAAAAAAAAAAAAAAAAAAAAAAAAAAAAAAAAAAAAAAAGTAATACATTTTCAGTTCAAAAATCTGTCGCAGACAATTGACAACCTTCCCTGATAAGCGTATATTTACTTAACATACTTATCGATAAATTCCAAAAATTCATATTTGTATAATCACAATATAATTTTTTACGACTTTATTTTACAACGGAACCATTGTAGACAATAGGAAAATAAATAAATAAACTTTTAATTAAATCATTGATCTCATTTGCGACGAAATGCACAATATGCTAATGTAAATGAATATTTAAAATCGTATAGTGATATCAAAGACATTCGTACTAGACCAACAGTAGATAATAATTTTACATGATGAATACTTTTGACAGAACATTAATATTCAATTTAAATAAAATCTATCTCACTATCATATTATCATTGTATTTAAAAATGAAAATCAATCATTTAATATAGAATTTGTCATTTTCAAATTGTTTAGGTACAACGTACCCATATGAAGAATATTTTTTTTTTTTAAATACTTATACATTAAATGGTCTGAATTATAGTAATTGATAAACAAATATCTTACTTCCATCGATATTTTAAATTGACCGTCCGAGTTATAATTAATGTTTTATAATACGCGGCTTTATATGATATATGATATTTTTCTTAGCCATCAAATCTTATCGTAAAAAAAATATTTTTTATTCATTACATGATTTCTTGATTGCAATTAAAGCGTCGTTTAATTATATTTATCAATGTCTTAATTTATTTCTACTTAAATTTAAACTTCGTCGTCCTATACGTATAAATTAAAGTTACTCCCTGTTGATAAAAAAAAAAAAAAAAAATGTAAAAAATATATTTAATTTTTGTAAATATAAATTAAAGAAACAAGAAATATAATAATTTGTTATTAAAAAAAAAATAATAATAATAATAATAATAATAATAATCATAATGAAAAATAAAAGATTTTTAGCTAAGATTGAAACGCATAAGAAATATTTGTTCTACTATTTATATTTATTTAATATGTTTTCAAGGCGTTAAATGACTATGAAACCGACAAGTAGATTGTCAAATCGACAATCGAATCTTAATTTAACAATATTTTTTTTAGGCATAGCATTTTAATTAATAATTATATTAATGAACGATTGATATTATTGCCTTTAAGTTATTACAATATGAATAAAACAAGCCGAATAGACATTGTAAATTTTGTTTTTCACTCAACTCCTAGTGGCATTTTATACGCGTACGTATTCATTAATTATAAACACATGGTAAAAGTGTCACAAAGGACATCATACAATATTATCCAAAATAACTTTAAACCTACAATTTATAGAATGAATATTCGATATACGACTAACTGATCCATCCGTTTTGTCGATCAGCTTAGCAGCAACTTAAGAACGGACTCTCGAGTGAGAAAAAAAAAACGTTGCATTATAACGAAGGATATTGGACTACGCATATGATTATTTATACAATTTTTCACCAAGTATTTTATGAAAATGGGGGAATATGATTGTCGGCCAACCAATTTCTTAGAACTGGGGGTCATTAAAACTTTGTCAAACTTATGTAAACCGCAATGAAGATAAGCCGAGTGCGCCCATGTGCCCTCAATTCCGAGCGTTAAAATCATACGAAATCTGTCGCAGCTCTAAAAATACATACAAGTTTTGTTCAAAATAATTTATATCTACGAATTTCGGTTCTTCAATCGTTTTTAAAGGAATTGATAAAGACATTTTGAAATTTTTAAAATTCATTTCTTTATAACGATAACCTAGTTTAGTCTGTTCTATAAATTTATTCTATGCTAAATTAGCTCTTACAGCATTAAAGGGCGCCAGTTCTGGTATCACACAAAATATCATAAAAATCATACGAATGAATCCTACGGTATGACGTACACAACACGCACACGTGCCATAACCAGTATAATTATTTTACATTTTTAATTGAATGGCTAGCTATGGTATTCTATTTATTTTGATTTTCATTATCGATAACTCGTGTTACTTACGTTATTTTAACGTCATTATTAACAACCTAATTACCATAATAAATTTCCAATTTAGCTATACAGAACGATCATAGGATTTAAATTTTAATCATTTTGTCGATAAATATGATACTTTCTTATTTATGATGCAAAATTGGTAATAATACGTGGAGCAGAAAAAAAAAAACAACAATATTATCGAAGAATGTTAAATAATATTTACTCAATATTTTATGTAAATTTTTAAGTTACTCGTAATAATGGTAAATTTAAATAATTTAAATATAGATAGATTCTAATGGCGGATAATTCAATCATCGGCGTTGGATTAATAAAATTTATAATAAAATAACGATCGAATTCATAGTTCTAAGAGAATTTTCTCCAGGAATAGCAAGCAACGCAACGTTGATATTGCGTTTCGTTATTATACGGAAATTCTTACAAACTTTCATGTAAACAATTTCTGCCTTAAAATCTTAATAAACTCGACGATTTATAAAAGATTTTGTTTGAAAAGTTTGGAAGTTTGGGTGAGAAAGAAGTACACAACCACCTAACAATGCATCGTACTTTATAATATTCCATCGATCGTTACTTTCTCCATTCTACAGGCGACCAACTGAACGAGTTCATCAGATTTTTAAATTCGATTTTACGAACAATAACTTTCCCGCACCTACGTTCGTTGATAATGGATACACGTTAGCAGCGAGGCGATTTGGCTGATTCGACAGGTAATAGCGACTGACGTCCAAATAAAGAAATCAACTCAACTTATAAAAAAAAAATTTAATTGTCAATTTAACGCGAACGCCTCGATGCGCGCATTCGCAATAATAAAAGACATTCAAGGCGCTCGAATGGGTATTCTCTCGCTATAGTGACGATGATATTGACCGTCGAATTACGTCAGATTGGCGAACAACAATGACCGAGCCCCATCCGCCCGTCATTACACCCGACTATACACGACTTTAGGCGGTGTGCTATTGCGTAGGGAAATCCGTATTATTGTTCTCCGCGATAAACGTATCATCATCCATTCGGCGGAGTATCGAAAGTTGCTAAAAGTAAACATAAACAGTGGATCGGAAAGCAAAGTGGAATGCAATTACATATGACTTTTCGTACAACGGCAAATAGATTGAAACAAAGCTTGTAGGCAGCAGCAGGACCACCACTACCACTAACTACATCACTAGCGCCTCAACGAACAATACCACCACTACCGCCACTACCACCACCGTCATCACCATCATCGCCATCATCGCCATCATCGCCATCATCACCATCATCATCATCATCATCATTATTAATCTCGATTAGTCTCGAATTCGAACTTTAATTGGCATTCGCAGCAATGGCGGCAGTAGGATTATCGATAAGGCACGGCCGACTCGACATTTACATACGCGCTCGCGAGCGTTGGACGTAGAGTCGGGGCGCTAGGGAGTGCGTGTCGTAGTGACCCCCGCGAAAGCCTCCTATCCCTTGACATCTGACTCCGATTGGCATTAATCATTTTCACTTTTAGCGCAAACAAGCAAGTGCATGTGTGCGCGGTGGCGGCGGTGGCTTGGTCGCACGTAGTCGTGCCGTTCGGGATTGCGATATTTCCTCGTCGCTAAATGGGGAAAGCGAGGGCTACGCGTACGGACACGCGCAGATCAGCTGTACTTTGCACTACAGCGACGAACTGCGATAACCTCCCGTTATCGCGGTGCTCGTACCCCCCGCTGTCGAGCGCCTAACAAGGAGCGCTGATATAACCCTAAAAGTCACCGTGGAACGATTCGTCGCTGGCTCGCTCAGTAGTCGAATAGTCGAGCTCTTTGTACGGTTGGGTAAAGAAGGTCGTTACTTTTGTTGACGGACGCCTGGCACCGAGCACTATCCACGAGCTCTCGAGTATATCGCGGTCGGAAGTGCCCCGGGGAGTATTGGTACAATCCCGTAGGGATTGTCGAGTTGGATTGGGAAGTCGCTGTCGCCGCTTTGAGAAATAGTCGTACGCGAGAGCCCATCTGCTTTTTCATTGACGAACTGTCTTCACACGGAGGAATGCAAAAGGACTGCCGAGATTGTTTGGGTATCAGATACCGTATCAATACCCTGGATCAGACGTGGAAGTGGTTGCACCAGACCATCGCCCTGCACGAGTACCTCATCTCCATAACAGCTAGCCAATCTAATGTTGAGTGTGATATGTGTAATTAGAGGTCGGGCCTTGTGACGTGTGATATCACATCGATTTGAAATTGAAATTGAAAAATCGATCGTCCAGGATTGTGTATTGGTATTTAGTGGAGGAGCGAACGACAGAGCGAACGATTTTGCTCAAAGACTGATTTTTTGATTAATTCGATAAGAGAATACACAATTGTAATTGATAGAGCCAAAGAATGTCTGTGATTATTAGAACCAGCATCCTCGGGACCAAGGCCCTACGAAAATTTGTGTAAGTGAAATTTTATTCTTGGCATAGAATATCGCCTTAACTTTGATGGCTTTTTGCACGAATGACGTAACGTTAGAGTCACCTGGTTTCTGCTTGCTTCGACTTATATTCTGATACCCTCAGCATAATGTAAGACGGTCGACGTACGATAAATGCCTCTTTGATAAATTTAGTTCAAAATTATTGTTTACGGCGATGGATGGCTTTTGACCACCCTGGTCCTCAATACTTTATATTGCATTAGCTGTTTAACAAGAGTTTTTCTTACCAGAGCATTTTTATGTTTACAGAGAATGTTCTCCCGCCTTAAGACATACTTCGAACAATTCTGCAAAGATCGATATACATGAAGATGACATTAAAAAATCGGTTTTCATCTCCCAGTCGACCAACATTTATACCAACTTGGCTCTAGAGGACTGGTTTTATCGGAACTTTGATTTTAGTAAGCATCATATTCTGCTACTTTGGAAAAGTGATCCCTGCGTGGTTATAGGACGTCATCAGAATCCTTGGACGGAATGCAATATTCCAGCCATCGAACCGAGCCAGGTGGTAGTGGCTAGGCGTAACAGCGGAGGTGGTACGGTATACCATGACTTTGGTAATCTCAACTTATCGTTCTTCACGCCGAGACAGCGGTATAATAGAAGATACAATCTGGATATAATCACAAGAGCTTTGTTCCGAGAATGGGGTTTGAAATCTACCATCAACAAGAAACAAGATATCATTGTGCAGGACGAATTCAAAGTACATATTCTTCTCTAAATATAACGTTGCCCATTGTCCACGGCCATGAATATGACTTTTGACATTGACTTTACAGATATCCGGTACAGCTGCTAAATTAGGATATCCCAACGCTTATCATCATTGTACACTGTTGGTAGACGTTAATACGCATGCGTTAAGCTTGGCCCTCAAGAAAACAGAGGTAAGCCTAAGTGCCTTTAGTTCTTTACGGTCTTAAAAACATCTTTTACTAGAATTCCTGAGGAATTAGCTTATCTTTAACGTCTTGTTTCTCCCACACTACTTGTCAATCCCTTACGTCTCCCCCCACCACCACTCCCTGCCCCGTAATAACATTACCCTTAATTATCTAAATTTTTCAAGCTTAGATGTTTGCTCTGCATTTATTGTGATGCCATAGTTACTCCTAATGCATATAAGATAAAAAAAAAATCATTAAATTTACACTACTCACGTACGAATGCTTTTATGTTGATCAGAACGGAATAACAACAAACGCAACCGAATCCATTCGATCGCCAATTAAAAATTTAAATGAAGTTAATTCCCATATAACAATCGACCAACTGCTAGCTGCTGTTGGCTGGGAATATCTTCGATCCAAGCCGTTAACAGCGCACGATGGTGGTCACAAATTAATAGAGCAGCAAAGAGGTTTTCAAATGGTTAATCCCACCGAGGACTGGTTTCCAGGTAAGCGAATAAAACTCAATTGTCAACTTGCAAAAGCACGCGAAATGTGCACAACGATTGTAATAACTTTTATCCTCACATTCGCCAGGTATCACAAAGCTGATCGAACAATTCCAATACTGGGATTGGATTTACGGCAAGTCACCGAAATTCACCGTAACTCGGATGTTGGAAGCCCCAAATACAAAGGACGCGAATCGACTTTTGAAACTTGTGATTGACGTAGAAAAGGGCATTGTGCAAGACGTGAAAATGACTTTACCTTCGGACTTGAATCAATACGCGAGCGTGATCACGAACCTCAGTGGTAAGCCTTATAGCCACAAACTCACAAACAGTATCGTCCAAGCCACTGGCTGCAAAGTTGTGGAGTTTGATGTGAGCGTCGACAAGAGCAACGTTGCCGCCTTGTAGTTAATATCATTTCCATTTGAGAGAATTGTACAAAAATATTTTATAATTATACTTTTTATAGCATAAGTGCGCGTTCGAGAAGAATGTTGATCGCTTATTACGTTTGGGCACCATATTCTATTACATCGTTGAATATTACGTAGAAATGTGTGCGTGCGTGCGTGTGTGTGTATGTGTTAGATATAAAATTCAACAAGTCCTTGATCTTATCCGCATCGCATACTTTGTTTTCAGTCTAAAGTACAAAGTATAAGAACTATACTATTTTAGCTCGTTTGAAGCGATTGTTGTCTGGTATCCGTAAATTACAATAATTTGATAATCTTTTATTTTATTTATTTTTTTTTTTTTTTATTATGACAATGCCGAGATATATTTTATCTTCACTCGCGAGCGCATATGATCCTTCAAATTAGCCACCTTACCAAGAAAAATGTATAAATTTTTCAACCAAAAGGCGAATAATAAGAATAATAATGATAATAATAATAATAATAATAATAATAATATTAAAAAAAAGTATTAAGCGTTCAGCAGCATACGGAACAAAGATCGACTTTTTTCTTATCTGTTACTCGTTTTTTTTTTTTCAAAGAATTTCAAAACAACGAGATAAAGCGTTCTGGAATTCGTAAACTCAATCATCGTTTAAAGCTAGGCGTAGCTCTTCAATTACAGTTTACTTATGATAAAGAGCAAACTACAATCTGTAATTGTTTTTTTGCGCCTTCGCTATATGAGGAGAAGAAGCGAGGCATACAAACAAAAATTTGGTATTGACGTTATCATTGATTATTAACATTATTAATATCGATGGATAGAACAATGGAGTTAGATCACTTTGGAATGTCGTATTTCCCAACTCTATCGAGCGTACTAGGAATAAAATAATAATTTGTTTGAAATATAGTTAAATTAATTTAACATGGCTCTTTAATATTTTTAAATATTTCGTAAAAAAAAAAAAAAAAAAAAAAAAAAAAAAAAAAATTACATTTTGACGAAAACATAATCGACTCCCTTTCGTATAAATAATATCAACGTCGACTGTAAGGAAAAATCCAAGATTGAAAGTTATTTGTAAATTGTATGAAAATAAATTATAACTTTTTAAGTATTAAAGAAGAAATTTCCTACGTTTGTTATTTTTGCTAGTTCCAAGATTTTCATAAAAGCACATATTTTGTAAAATTGCTTCATGTAAATAACTAAAATTTAATGCAATTTTCTGCAATTTTGCGTAGTATTAATTATGCATATATTATTATCCGAGTATTTTTTTCTAGAACTCATGCATATCAAAATATTAAGAAAAATCACAATTTTCTTAGTAAAAGTACATCTATCGGAGTATTTCTAGATTATTTTCTAATGTAACACTTAAAAAATATTAAATTTTTTTAAAAATAAAAAATCTTTTATTCCATATAATAATTTCTTTCCTTTCATCCCTCATCTCAAATACCAATATTTGGTATCGATATATTATTTGAATTATCGATATATAACATGTAATGTTAAATAATTATCAATTTCGATATTTAATTTAAGAATAAATGGCCAATTAAATTCTTGATTATCTCGCCTGTATAATAAAATTATATAATAATTTCATTTCAGTGAATAAGGCAATCGGTGAGAAGACGAATGGTTTTTTTTTTTTTTCCTTTTAAAGTATGTATATGTCTATTATTTACTAATGTATTTATCAATATATTTAATAGTTGTTATAAAAATTAAAGTAAAATTAATAAAAAAAATCAATGGCATTCCGTGATGTAATTGCAGTATATCATAAATTTCGCCATAATCTTTAATCTTTCATTCTTAATAATATATCGTCGAATTCCAATCGAAAGTATTGAAATATATTTGTAATTAACGAGAAGGTTGATATTTTCTGAGGGAATTGAAGACTAAGTTGAAAAATGTCTTAGTCGTGTGAACGATAATGCAAATGGGCCAATTAATCGTTAGGCACAAGAATTGCCTAAAACGTGAAAAAGTACCTGATTGTCATTAGCAACGACGACGTTCGATTAATAAATTTAAAATTATCTTGGCCTACGTCACTTTTTACATAATAAAATAATTAAGCCATTCAAAAAATATCACAACGCAATGTATTAATGTATCATAAATTATACATAGAGTTTAATAGGCCTACTTTATAGCTGTAAACAAGTCAAATTATATATATATATATATATATATATGTAATAATTGCAAATTTAGACGATTATTGAAAAATATATTGTGGTGTAAAAACCTGTCAACTGCGCGAAAGAATACTTTCATTATACACTAACATTCGTACAAAGCGGCCAATTGTAATGTCTTTATAAAAATTGATTTATAATTACGCTTTAATTGCTCGTCGAGAATGAAATTGAAATGTAAAATATTATTTCGAATTTTATTGCGAATGCGATAAAAAAAAACATAATCTGCTACTTCGTTTGTTTATCGACGTGCTTAATTCTCAACTACTAGCATATATGGAAATTCTCGCAAACAGCAAGTAGAAAGTGTGAATTTTATCATCTATTATCATGGGAGGTACCGTTTATTACGGTTTTTTTTTTCGTTTTTCTTTTGTTTTTGTTTTTGTTTTTGACGATAAATATGGTGAACGCGATTGACAAACCAATAAATAGCTTTGCATTACCCCTTCTTTTAAAAAGGGATAAATTTTCTCGTTGGAAATTTCAAGATTTCAACTATCTCGAATTTACAATCGTGAACAACTAATTTAGCTTATTTTATTTTAAACAAAATGCTCGGCAGTATGCTGAATTATTGTTTCAAGACCTCGACAATTAGGATACTGAATAAGTGTAGTAAGCAATTGAGCTATTTAGAAATAACTGTAATTTTTGATCGATTCGTAAAATTTATCTTTGAACAGTTTGCTTGATAATAATGAAAAATTAATTCAATCATTGCTGGCGCACGTAGTCTTGTCCATAAAATAACGGCTATTTGTAATTTTCTGTACCAATAATTAATGAAACGAGCAGCTTAAAAAATGTCTTAGTAATGGATTAGTGAAAAATATAAATACCGTGTAATAGGAATTATCGCGTAGAACATTTCACTGGCATGAGGGAAGTAGAGTAGTATATGGACCTTACGTAGTCAACATCCATTTTAATAAATAACAATGCTATACAGTTTAATGGCTTTATCATGGTGCACGCGTGTGTATATAAATTATTGTTAATTCAGGATACATAGGATTTAATGAATTTACATAATTTGTAGGAACAATAGGATTTTCGCGTTTCATTGATAATAGCTAGTTGAAATGTTTTAATTCCGAGTTCTTTAGTAATGCCGCAGTAAGGATTCGGTTGCGAGTTAGAATAAATTTTTTTTTTTTTTTTTTTTTTTTTTTTTTTTTTTTTTTTTTTGTACATTCGACGCTGGAAATTTTTGTATCTGAAGAGTAAAGAAATATTTAAGAATTTTGTAAAATCGAGCAGTTGTTTTGGTATTATTAGATAATCCGAGTCTTTGAGAATTGATGAAAAATTGCCGCTTATAATTGAGTCGAAATGGAGAGAAAAAGCCACTTGTGAGGTCCAAATTGCACAAATGATCGTGGTTCATTATTGGTAAACCACCGTAAGAAAGGTAATTAGAGCACTATCGATCGAAGCCATATGACATACGAGAAACCTGTCTGCGATAAAAGTGACGTCAATGCACACATTCAACTCGTCTAATTATAGTGCCGATTATATACTAGTCTGTTTTTATAAAAAATCGTTTGCGTGTCAACATAAAAATAGCGCATTTTTCTTCTGTATTTGTAGAAGGCTGCACACGTTGAATGGATCTGTTATGGAATGAATGGATTCGTTTATAAATTGTTTGCTTTTTATCACGCGATTTTAAGTAAGGGAAGCGTTGATGACGAATTGTCTTTAAAAACGAAAAAGCCTTGACAAATATCTATTCCCATAATAATATGAATAATAGTACAGTGGAATATTTTATTTCTGAATTTTGTCAGAAAGTATCATAGAGTCGGTTATTATTATTTATTTTTTTTTTTTTTTTTTATAGCGGCGTTATGAAATATACTGTTTCAGTTTATACAGAATTTCTTGCGGTAAAAAAAAGAATCTTTTAAATTTCTGACAATCGTATTCTCGATACGATAAATTCGGCGATGCTGTCGTTCTTGGTCACTTAACTCAACTTAATTAGAAACTCCGTTATGACCGCACATAGTTAATTACAATTTATATTTAATCACCAATAAATGTTTATAGAAAGTTTCGCAACTCCTTCTTTGAAATTGCCAACTCGTGAATGATGTTGGCTTTACATAAATTATTCTAGAATATTAATAAAGTTATTTGTAATTTGTCCATACATCTTCTATTTGTATTAGAATGAATTTTTTTTCCCACTTTAATCGTCAAATTTTCCTCTCATTTGAATTAAAAAAATTTATTCCTTATGTTGGAGATTTATCTTGACTAATATGCCCAAAGTTAATATATATCCATTTGGTAGTTTATTATCATATTCGGCATATAATCCCAATTGGTATGGTAGCATTAGCAACAAGTGTATATTAACCGTAACATCGCAAGAGACAAAAGAGCATAAATTGAAAGAACTCGAATTATCAAAAGCAGGAACAATGACTTTAATTTATTAAGATAATATGGTTCTGATATAGCAGGAATTTTAGGTCGATTAGCAAAAAAGTTAAAAAAAATTTTAAGATTTAATCATATGAACGTTAACAGCTTATGTTTTATTGTGTTAAGATATTTGTTTTACCAATTGAGTAACCTCCCACACCAATCGACGTTTCAGTTTATATTATTTAATAATAAAACAATGCTTTTTCATGAAATTATTATTTCTTCTTTATATATATAATTATAAAATAATTATATTATTAATTAATTATGCAGGTGCAATTTATTTCTACGTTCATTGTAAAACTCTTGCATAATATGTCTTTCTTATTTCATTTAAGTGTAAAATTCTGTTTCAAGGTGGGTGGTATCTTTGTACTGAATAAAAAGACTTAATTTTATTTTCAGAAGAATATTGTAATAGAAAGTTTTATTTGCATATTTATATATACCTGTAATAAATGTAGAAAAGATTTAAGAATCCAACGTCAACGTGCGATCAAATGGAAACGATCGATAGTTTAATTTTTTTCTCCTTGTTTATTTATTGTTCAATTTATTTTACACGAAAGGTTCATAAGGCCAAAGCTCTCATTTTCAGGGAAGTCTTTCTTTAATTAGAATATAATTTCTCAATATAAAAAATCTAATGACACGTAGTCTTGGATTGGATTATACACCGATGAGGGTAACCGAGAGAAACGCGTAGACTCTGTCGCAGATTTTATTATGTTTTTATTATATAAACTATAATGAAATATAATATAATCACTAGTAATTATAAAATCTGCCATTTGTTTTTTCGATAAAGTTAATAAAACGAGCTTACTAAAGCCTTTCGATCGCTTTACTTCACTCATACTCCAATAATGATGATGATGATGATGATGATGACGATGATAATAATAATAATAATAATAATAATAATAATGATAATAATGATAATAATAATCATAATGTTAATAATGATAATAATAATCATAATAATAATAATGATGATAATAATAATAATAATAATGATGATGATGATGATGATAATGATAATGATAATGATAATAATGTTGATAATAATTATAATAGTTATTAACTATTCGATACGTAATGTAATGTAGCGCCGAAATTATATTTAACATAATATTGGCTTGCGAAATGGGCCAAAATATGTAAAATGTCGATTTAATTTTAAAAATTGTTTCAATTAATTTAAGCACCTTTGACGTTTAATGATATTAATGTGATCATTTAATGCTAGACTAATTCAGCCTAGCTGCGATCGAGATCGATAAAATCGTATCTTCTAAAAATATGTTTGTAATCGTCATCGTCTCGGTACACAAATCTAACTTGTCGGGATGTTTTTAAAATGCTCGATTTGGCCGACAAGCCGATATTTGTTCGGCAAATAACTTAACAATAAAAACGATAAATATTCGTAAGATTAAAATATGCAGCTTGAATTTGTAAATTAAAAATAAAAATATCTCGAGGTCGTTGGCAATGATTCGACGGCGCTCAATCCGTTCCCGTGAATGCGAGAAGTAATCGACTTGCGTCCAGCTTGACGTAAAATCTGTTTGGCAAATCGTGTTTGCGAGATGCTGGTGAACTGAATCGATCGCGCGTGTCCGAACGCACAGCGCCGAGGTCGAGATCGAGGTCGAGTGCGAGCCCGAGCGTTTGCCGCGATCGAGATGATCCGGTCATAATAATAATCCGCTGCCATCCCCTGGTCCAGCACTGCCAAACGGAAAATGCGCGATTGGCAAGTGGCAGACTCAGACATTGTAGGTGGCGGTGCTCGAGCCGTTGATCCCGGCTGTGCGGATTCCCAGAATTCGAGTGTTGGCTCGTTGCGGTTGAGTCGTCGTCGTCGTCGTCGTCGTCGTCGCCGCCGCCGCCACCGCCGCAGCCGCCGCCGCTATCGCTGCAATCGCTGCTCGCGGGTAAAGGTTTCGGTGTAGCATGACCTCGCGATACGGCGGAGGCGGCGTCCCCGGGCAGATTGGCAGGATGTTCGTGGTCGTGGTTGTGGTGGTCGTGGTGGTGGTCATCGTCGTGATCGAAGGCGAGCCGCCGGCACCGCTCGCGTTCTCCTGCTGCCAGAGGTGCCTGAGCAAACATACATCAATGCTTCGATGAGTCAAGTGTAGCACGGATATCGTTATGGTCTTAGCAAAAGTTACGGTGGATGTAGGGAAGCGAATGAGTGGGGTGAATGGGGAGCACAATCTTCGGATATATCGATTGGGCGCGAATATTTCATTGTAAATATGGCAATTCATTGGTTTGCGATAAATCGGTGCAAAAGAATTTGTTTAAACTTTCTTAATTCTTAATTTTGTTTTTGTTTTGAATTGTGTTGCTTTGTCTCGTCGTATCACGTACGTATAATCGACGATGGAATGAATATTAAGCGATTAATGGGTATCCGATTCTTGCCCCATCCCGGCCGCCGATAAGCAACACACATTCTCAAGAATCGATGATTTTAATCGTAAAGTGTCAGTTGTACTCGGAATTATTGGGAGTCGCATGAGTAGCGATAAAGCACACGTAACTGCGTGAGGAATATTGAATTTGGATTTATTATCGTGTCATACCGGTCATACATCAAAATAAATCTCCATTAATGAGGGAATAAGAAAGAACAAAAGCGCATTATCATTTTACTTTTCCTCGTACGATTTACCATTGTCGATATTCTAATTGGCACTGGCCGTGGACGTGGAAGATGATTGCGTCCTCGCCTTGGGAGTATTATTATTATTATTATTATTATTATTATTATTATTATTATTATTATTATTGTTATTATTGTTGTTATTATTATTATTATTATTATTGGGCGAATCGTTGAAAAATTATCGCCAATTTAAGTGACGGAGATGGCGCGAAGGATGAATTATTTTGTATTATTAAAAATTTTTCCGAGCGAGATGCGAATGAAGATATGGGCGATACGTGCGCGCGTCCCGCGACTCGGATTTTCTCGATAATAAATCGAGCGTTCGCTTCGATCCGCCTACATGATTTATGCATTTTCCACAATGAAGCTCGAGCTTTCGAAAATCATTTGGAATGAATATGAGGTTCGCTCGCTCGAACAATACCTCAGCTCATAAATAAACATAATGATAGCACGGAGTAGATGCAAATGAGTTTGCAGCGGAATTAATAAAGTTAAAAAGGTCATGGGTAATATGAAGAAATTGATTCGCTCGGCGGTTTCGTTAACAAAGCTTTTCTCGTTAAGACGATGATGCGACGTGCGCCACGCGCATCCATAAATCACGCGAAGCGAATCGCGTCGGATGGCGGGGAGCTGCCGACACTCGACGTGACACTTGCCGTCGACGGATGACGCGTAGCTTTGTGATTCTGCCCGGTTGACTCACCTGAGCAGGGAGACTCTCTGGGAGCTGGTGTCGGGTGAATCCGTGACACCGGCACGGCGAATCCTCGGTATTAGACAGGAGATGGTCGTGGAGAGCCAGAGGTAGGTGACGACCATCGTGGCCCCGCTGCCGAGGAGGAAGCCGATCAATAGGAACCAGAAGGGCGAGACGCCGTTGCTGAAGGCGAAGATGCTCGTCGGGTCGGGGACCGTGGGCTCGCACTCCTGCTCCTGATCTTGGACGGCCTCCTCGAGCTTGCGCCACGGGTCCACGTCCCAAGAGTCGCTCGACTTCTTCGAGGGCCGCGACTCGCCCTTACCGGCCTCCTGGCCGATGCTTATCTTCTCGAACTTTATCGTCAGCGCGCTCTTGTTGCAGATCGGGTGGGTCTCGATGTTCCTGCTACGCGTGTACAGCTTCAGGCTGTACATCGACTCGTCGCAGATCCAGTTGTTCCTGAAACGAGATCACAGGCACATGGGAGCTTAATGTTGCCCGGATGAGACCGATTGAGTGGATAATGTCTAGCCCTGCGTGCTAAGGTAGCGATTCCCCCCCCCCCCCGAGAAACGTCAGGCTAACGCGGGGCTGTATTTGCGTGTAGATTAATATCAAAGAAAATAATGCCGTAGGGGATTTGGTTCAGGATTTTCCTTTGACTTGGCTTTGACTGGGCTTTAACAAGTTCCCGGATAAGCTGGGCCTGTGCATTGTTTTTTGTCGCGTTTAAAATGAATTCATCGTCTTTATTTCAAGTCATTAATTATATTGTATCTTTTATGCTTCTCGCATACTCCTCGAGACCATATTTATGTACTTTATCAACAGAACAATATACGCTTGTTAAATATTTATTTAACACAAAAACAAAACAAAAAAAAAAAATCTTCACGAATTAATTAAATTTTACAAAAGGAAAAGTTCACGCGATGCTACTACTACTGATTATACGGTAGACGTTACAATCGTTGCATCGAATAAGTAAATATAGATTATCAACTTGCGTTTCGTGAAGTGAGAAATAATAAAGAAAAAAGAAAAGAAAAAAAAAACTAGTACACATAGAGATAGGTTTTGTTTACTGCGTATAAACGTATTCCAATGTCTGCTATACGCTGACTAGCGTTTATTAAATGGACTTTAAAAAAAATTTCTATTCGCTTGCGATTAAAAGCTAAAATCTTAATCGCTATCGTAATAAATTGTGCAATGATCCCTCAGTATGATAAGTTCATAAGTAATAAATTAGTTTGCGAAGTAGAATTAGGGGATGGCATGAATAATAGACAGTGCAATGAGTCGTGATCCCAATTACCGACTACACTACACCTGCACCGATTTATTAATTGGTATTCTGAATTTCAAGGCCGTTGTGTTTGTCTGTAAAAAGTACGCGCGATAGATAATTGGATGGAGAATCAAACCGAGCTGAATAATAAAAGGAGGAATAGTACAATTTAATTTAATAATTCTTTAATGTTTCCTCTCTGCTTTCATATTTTCTGCATACGTATTATTCATATTGCTTGTTAAAATTGACGTTTATTAACGAATATTGTTAATTGCAATCGACTGTGTGCTTCATAGAGAAAGAAGTGGCGCTCGAGAAAGCTTTTTTTTTTTTTTACAATAGACGACGAACGGCTCGGTGCAAATTGCTTAATGAACATGGGGTATTTAATATCTGCCCTTGGTCCCTCGTTTGCAAAAAGTCCATCCAATTGTGCTAAAAGTCTATGCGATTAAGAAAATAATACTGTCGGTAGTTGGTGATAAGTCCTGGAGGGAGTGTGGACGGGGTATCGTTGTGAGTAGATCGTTGCAAAAAGCTTCGAAGCCACTAAAAGTCGTCCTCTAATTGCCGCGAGATAAAAAAAAAAAAAAAAAAAAAAAAAAAAAAAAATCAAGACGACTCCGACGGACGTCGGTGGGCCTTGTTCTAGAGTCAGGGCACTATGGTGGGTGATTCGACGGTATGGGGGACGAAGTTTTGAAAGGACGAGGTGAATGACGAAGCTAGCGTACCTTCCAAGTGACAATTTTTGAAGGAAGGGCATCTGCCGCAAGACGTCCTTATCTAACCCGGTCATCGCGTTGCTCGAGAGATCGAGTTTGCGCAGTTGCTTCAGTCCTTGAAAAGTGTGTTTCGGCAGATGATTGATTCGGCAGCCGCTGAGGTCGAGGGTCTAAAACAGCAAAAACAGCAAAATTGACGGCGAGCGTCGTCATCGAGGGCGGCCGTCTGATCAGCTAGTGATTGGGGCGAAAGGGCAGCTAGTAGATTGGGACGAAAGGGGTACGGGGAAGCGCGCACAAACACATGAATATTATATTATTACACTTATATTATACATTGTGTGTTTGTGTGTGAGTGAAATAGTGCGTGTGAGACAGCGCCTCTGGCGCTTACGGAGATTCGCGCGCGTCGATACTCGAGAGCGACGCTGTGACGCGGCGGGGACGACTCGCGGAGGGGATAAAGAGCGGAGGCTCGGCAGACGGCAGCCCTTGGTATGGGAGAGCCAGTGCGCAACGCGACCTTCGTTAACCCGTCGCTTGCCGTCGTCGGCGCCGATGTCCCGCCGATCAATCTCTTTTTTCTCTGTTTTCTGTCGACACGAGGTAACGATTCGAGCACGTTGCGGATGTAAGACTGTACGGTTATGTATGTCGCAGTGCATTTATTTGTCTTGCATTATTATATTATTGTTAATCGTTGGCTGCCGAAGCTCTTGTCCCGGGGACCAGGCGCATCTGCTCCTTCCTTCGAGTTAAAATTTCTTAAGATTGTAAGTTGTTACGTACGGGTGAGCGCGAAGAAATGGCTTTTTTTTTCATTTGCATGATATGCGCTACGACTCGAGCTAGCCATCGGACTTGTTTTGTTGTTGTTTGTTTGTTTGTTTGTTTTAATTAAATGTTCTCTTTCACGACGTGTGGATGTCGCATCTCTCGTATTCTTACTCTTTGAATCCGGCATCGCCATAACACCAAAGTTCTCTTAATCACGGGAGTTTGCGTTATGGAACAATGAAAGTTTCGCGCGGGGGGGGGGGGGGGGGGGCACGACCCGACTGTCGACGTTCTCGCTCTATTCCAATGTTCGCGAAAGAAAAGTGCTGAATTGCGAATCAATGCTCTACATCCTTAATAAATAACCTTTAGTTTGGCATGTGGATTTGAGACACCGCGATCGTGTCGGTTGATGATGAATCCGAGGTGATATCGCTAGAGCTTGCAAATCGAATGCAGCCAAGCCGTTATTTAGGCCTTTAAATACGGGAAAAAATGATTATTGACAATGCGTTTCGTTCTTACAAAGTGCCGTCTGTGAAATTATAATATAATCTCTCTCGTCGAATGGGCGTGATATTTATTATTTCCATGAAATGGTTATGTGCTGTATCATTCAAATGGTTGGCACGTGACGTTTCGTAAATTAAATGCGACCAAATATATTGTACGTTTTCAAGTTGCTCCCCTCCCTCCCTCCCGCCCCCGGTCGTGCATAATACTGGCTGACGAAAGATGATTTATCGTATCTGTATTGTTTGTATAAGTTCACATTCAGCAAGGAGGCTTTATTTTAATTTATTTGATGCCGCGGCAGACATTAAAGTGGTGCTCATTTGATCGATCGCTTATTTTAGTAACCGAGAGCTTACAATCACTCGCGAAATGCTTGCACAGTCGAAAAAAATGCACGTCACGACTTGCAAATAAACAAAAAGTAAAGAAGCGTGAAATGTAGGCTATAATTTTTGTTTGCTCAATTAGCGTGTTGCACGGCACCTACTTGTTTATTTATTTATTTATTTCTCTCTCTCTCTCTCTCTCTCTCTCTCTTAACAACGTTTATAGTTTTCAACTTGAAATATCGTACAGTCGGCCTCACAGCAAGATATTTAGGAATTTAACGATTTTGCGTCTTTCTTTGTAATTCGAAATTCGTTATTCGCGTGGAGCTTACCACGAGAGATACACTGTGAAGCGACGGGACGTGGAGATTAAACTTATTGCCGGCGAGGTGGAGGATCTGTAACTTTTGATTATAGTAAAATGTGTCTGGAGCTATGTAATCGATGCGATTCATCGACAAGTCGAGAACCGTGAGATTCCTTAAGTCGTCAAAGGCATTCAATCCGATCTCACTAATGGCATTCATCGACAGATTCAAGTACTTCAATCTCGTTAGACCAGCTCTCTGTAACAAAAAATAATAACAAATTGTAGTCCATTGGATAAAGGGGCGGGAACGGTGGCGGGTTAGGGAGGGAGGCGAGAGAGAGAGAGAGAGAGAGAGAGAGAGAGAGAGAGAGAAAGACTGAGAGACTCCCCATAATGTAAGTTTGCAAGCAACTTTACAAGCATAATTAATTTACTACCCAGTCTAACCGGATAGCTAAATGTCAAGTGCTTATTATTAAAGAGCCCGAGGTAAAATCCCTTTCTCGCTCTATTCCCCCGTCGCCCACCCATTTATTTGGAGAAAATGAAAAAAGAGAAAGAAAAAACAACTATTCTAATTTACAAGCAGCCTATCTCGTCACGTAGATTTTATCCCACTAGTCACGATCCGAAGCTTTCATCTATCTATTCGTACAGAGTATAATTGCACTTGAATAGATATGGCTTAATCGCTATTCTTACTTTCTCATTCCTTTTCTTTTCTCTATTTATTTTTTCATTTTTTATCATTATTGTTGTTGTTGTTGTTGTTGTTGTTGTTGTTGGTGTGCACTCGGCTGTTAGAGAAAGGTCACTCCCAAGCTATTAATCGCGTATGCTGCAACGTCCCAACGATAAGCAAGCCACGACCAACGAGGCCCCGATCCTTCACGGTCATCCGTAGGGCCCGTCGCGACCTCTTTTGATTATCATTTCGTCGAAACTAACGCACGACCCACCTACCCACGCCCATCCGTAATTAAACGAGGAGAACGCGCCAGCGACACCGCTACCATCATCGCCATCGCTATCGCTACCACCTTCATCATCATCATCATCATCGTCATCATTATCATCATCATTGTCATCATCACCATCACCATCACCATCACCATGGTCGTCATCGTAACCGTCGCACGAGTCTCGCGATACACGCGACGGCACGGCTCAGCCTCCGACGTTCACCAGCACCGCGGGTGCCAGTTTGTTTCCACGCTCCTCGTCGAATAATAATAATAATAATAATAATATTAATAATAATAATAATAATAATAATAATAATGATGATGATGATGATGATGATGATGATGATGATGATGATGATGATGATGATGATGATGATGATGATGATGATGATGATGATGATGATGATGATGATGATGATGATGATAATGATAATGATAATGATAATGATAATGATAATGATAATGATAATAATAATAATAATAATAATAATAATAATAATAATGGTCACGCTCGCGCGCGCGCGCGCGCGTATGCTCTGGCGAGTATCTACTGGCCCATCGGTGCCACGGTCTTTCGTCCTCCGACGTTGTCGGAGTGCGTTGTCGACTCACCGAGAGCTGCCGGTCCTCGAGACTGGCCACCGAGTTGTTGGAGAGGTCGAGGGCCTGGGCCGCGCTCGACACGCCCGCGTGGATGCTGTAGAGGCGCCGGCCGGTGCAGGAGGCCCTGAGCTGCGTGTCGCACGCGCACAGACTCGGGCAGCCCGCCAGCCAGCGCTGCAGCTGCGTCTGCGTCTGCGCCCTCGCCGAGAGCGCGAGCAGGGCAGCGAGAAGGAGCACGAGGAGGGCCGTCCCCGGGGCGACCATCCTCCCAATCGTCGTCGACCTTCCGCTCGTGCTCCACGTCGTCTGCCCCCCTCTCGCCGATCGCCTACCTCGCCTGACGTAAGCGGGCTTCGGACGCAGCTCGGCTCGCATCCTCCCCCGACTGCCCTCGCCACTCAGGCAGTCCTCCAGACTCCCTAACTACCGCTCGCCTCGGCCGCTTGAACGATGTTCCTCCGATCGGTGTCCGGGACGGGATTCAGAGCCGCTAACGCTGCTATCGCTGCTACTGCTGCTCCCGCTCCCGGGGTCCGGGGCAAGCCGACTCAGAGAACCGCCAGAGAGCCACGATCCCAAGGTCGCTGCTGGACCACGGCAGCGTCGCCTTACCGCTTCGCGATCGATCGTCGATCATAGATGGCGGCAGCTGTCCAGATGGGAGAACGCGGCCACATGAAGGATCGTCTACAATCGCGGGCTACGGCGTACTGCCGTTGTGGCCGTGCTCCGAGCGAGCGACGTGACGCGACGCTGCTCGTCAGCAATAACGTTGGTTGGAGGCCGCAAGGCAGGGGCCGCGTCGAGAGGCCCGGGGCCTGGCTCCAAGGCAATCGCGGGCCAAGCCAATTGTTCGCCGAACGTTGGGTAAATGTTCGCCAGCGGGTTGACGGTTGTTGCCTCGAGTCGGGCCTGGGTCTCACAGTCCCACAAGATGGTCCGGGCACGACTGGCGGGAGGGGATGCGCGGATGGGGAGCTGTGAGACTTCTTGTCCGAGGAATGGCGCGCCTCTGCGTGAAAACAGCAGCAGCAGCAGCAGCAGCAGCAGCAGCAGCAGCAGCAGCAGCAGCAGCAGCAGCAGCAGCAGCAGCAGCAGCAGCAGCAGCAGCAGCAGCAGCAGCAGCAGCAGCAGCAGCAGCAGCAGCAGCAGCAGCAGCAGCAGCAGCAGCAGCAGCAGCAGCAGCAGCAGCAGCAGCAGCAGCAGCAGCAGCAGCAGCAGCAGCAGCAGCAGCAGCAGCAGCAGCAGCAGCAGCAGCAGCAGCAGCAGCAGCAGCAGCAGCAGCAGCAGCAGCAGCAGCAGCAGCAGCAGCAGCAGCAGCAGCAGCAGCAGCAGCAGCAGCAGCAGCAGCAGCAGCAGCAGCAGCAGCAGCAGCAGCAGCAGCAGCAGCAGCAGCAGCAGCAGCAGCAGCAGCAGCAGCAGCAGCAGCAGCAGCAGCAGCAGCAGCAGCAGCAGCAGCAGCAGCAGCAGCAGCAGCAGCAGCAGCAGCAGCAGCAGCAGCAGCAGCAGCAGCAGCAGCAGCAGCAGCAGCAGCAGCAGCAGCAGCAGCAGCAGCAGCAGCAGCAGCGGCGGCGGCCGTGGCGGTGGTGGCGGCGGCGGCAGCGGTGGCGGCGACGGCGGTGGCGACGGCAACAGCGATGGCTCTCGACGTTGGCGAACGGTAGCCGCGGAGCGTCGCTGGTCTCATCGAGTCGAGGGGCGCGCGCGTCGTTCGGTAGCTGCAATCGCGGTTAATCCACGACCGATCAGCGGCCGATCTGCGGTTCGCGAAGGGTCCGATCAATGGGTCGCGGCGAGCTCCGAGATACGCAACTAATGATGCCGGACTTGCGGTTCGTCGTGAGGGGGGCTTGGAACGTAGGGGAATCGAGGGGTCTCGATGCTCGGGGTCTGCGCCAGTCGGTTATAAATAGCGGGGCCGAGCTCGTTCGGTCTAAAGACGAATTTCTATTAGGTAACTCTATTGTGGGAGTTGTGCAGTACGGAGATTAGCGTCAGCATGCAATTGGGCGGTGCAAATGTGTGGAGGTTAAATGTTGGCAATGGTTGCCGATTCGAGTCGTCGTCTTTACGGTAAGGGAGTGAAAAGGACGTTCGTAAGAGAATGGATGGGATTTCTTGGCGGTTTGAAGTACCGGAGGGAAGTAAGTAGGAAAGGTGACGAAGCTGAAAATTGTAATCGGAGTGGTAGTGTTGGAGAGGTTTTGAGGTTAAGGCGGTGTCATGTGTTATCTTGGTGGGTTGTAAAAATTCGTAAATATCAGGACTATTTATTGGATGGCAGCATGCATGTTTTATCCAATAATTTTATTTGAACGAATGAGTAAAGAAATGTCAGAAGCCGTTGAGAATTGCCGATATATTCGAAATATTCGTTATTTTGTTGATATCTTGCCTTCCGAGGGGTATTGGGAGGGCGGGAGGACGCTTGTACATGTCATGCGTTTTGTAATGTGAGACATCATAATAATGATCATCTGGCCGTGGCGAATGTCCGACTCTTACGTAATATTAGTTTTGTAAATTAATAGGCTAATAGTCAGTTAGTGATAGTAGTGGATTCACTCGTAAGTAAAAATGCATTTCTTTTGTGGATATACCGTAGGTTACACCATATGTTTGTATTTGCTAATCAATTCGTTATTTAAGAGACAATGCAGACCGACATTATCCTATTGATTTTTGGTTGTTGTTATTGTTGTTTATGATTGTTTGTTTTTTCATTTTTAAATAAATTATGATGTTGTTTATGATTTGAAAGGGCATTGTTTTAATAGCCCCTTTGTAAGCCTAAATGCCAGATGAATGAAATTTATAATTATTCTCTTATGATTGGTAATGCAATGCTTGGATTAAGAGGATGATTATTTTAAATGATTTTAAAAGCGACAAAATTATTAAAAAAATTTTAATTGTTATTTAATAATGATGAAGACTGACAGGGTGAATTTGTTAGAAGGAGTAAGAAACTACAAAATCCTAATGAACATAATAGATCTCCACCGAATGATTTCTTCCGTTTTCTTTTCCATAAATGAGACAGTTTAATCTCTCTTAAAAAAAGTTTAAACTCTCATTGTTATGAATACTTAATGTGACAATGTCATTAGAGTAGATAATAGACAAACGCTTATAATATTATGTGAAGTCGCTATATCAATTTTAATTAATATATGGATATATTGGTTATTTTATAGAGTCGTGGCATTAATATTACTTCTCATAAGTTTTATATAATCGAATAAATAAAATTTTGTATAATATTAGCTTATTTGTAGACAATTACAATTTATCGTCATAAACTTCTAACAATATCAATTATGAGGATAAGACTAAGCTTTTTCATCTGCTTTGTTATTTATGCAATTAATTACAAAAAATTTGAATTATAATTTTAAGCGACCAGCATTACCCCGCTTAATTAATTAAGAATGATTTTGCATTTTTATTTACACCCTTTAAAGTTACCAATATGCTTGTACTTCACAATTTTTTATGTGAATATATTAAGATGACGGATACATTTATCACTTTGTATAATTAATTAATTAATGTAGCGTTAAGAATTTACAAGTGCAAAGTTATTACGAATACATAGCTGCACTACCATCAAATAAATAATTCTAAAGAATTTGTAGATAAGATATTTTAGTAACTATTTTACATACAATTTTAATTAAATTTATATTGTACAATTTATTATAAAATTTCATTGAGAACATTCAATACAAAATTAATCCATTAAATTTCTTCAAATTGTACTTTGTAAAGCACAAATAAGGACGGTATTTGTTTATTTGAAAATATTTATAAAATACATTAAAAAAAAAAAGAACGAGAATACAAATTTTTACATAAAAATTAAGTTTTTTTACATGTGTTCATGCGATATTGCCAATGATTTGCAGTGTATGTTATACGAAATATTATTGCAAAATTCTTTAGAAATGATTTTAAAAAGATACTGTTACTTTATAATAGTTACAATATTATACTAAAACGAAGGAAATGTTATTTTAAATTTTAAATATAAAATAAAGTTGTCTAAGACTATTGTTCTCGACAAAGCATGTTTTTTGTTTATTCTAATATTCTAAAAATACACGAAACAATTGTATTAAATACATTTTATTAAAAAAAGAAAAAAATTTTTTTTTTTTTTAATGTAGCAGTAAAAGCAATATCTTTATAATTTGGATTGTTTTGGCTTGACGTTGTTTCGAAAACTGTTCCATCAAAGTACGTTTTGCGTGTATAACATATTATTATGACGGTATGGTTCTTTCGATAAATACTTTTCTCAACTCCAAAGCCCTGCTTGTAAAGTTCAAAAAATTATGCATTAGGTTTTAGTTTCTACCCATCATTAAATACTAGAATATTTATCGGCTTATAACGGAATAAAATGTATTTATGACCTACTTACGATTGTCGTTACTACTATAATGCAAATTACGAATCATAAAATTATCATAACGGAAAGTGCATCTATTAAAGCTGAATAGGCTTTACATAATGTAAAGTGTAAGAAATCTATGATTCGTCAAGCACAGCTCATTAGAGCAAACATATGTTTCCACTTGTAATGCTTAACCCTTAACTATTACTTATTGCCACAAACATTACGACGATCATTGTTGTGAATTAATTTTAATACCTCGTCTCTTGAATTATATACCTTAAGTTTTATCGCGATAGCATTGCATTTTATGATTAACTTTTTATTTCATGCCTCGGTGTTAGTATGGGCATCGAGGCTGCTCAGATTACTTATACTCTGCTCGAATTATTGTCATTACAACTTAGTTAGATGTACCATGGATTGTATTAGTTAGGTGGTATTGTTACAAGGCTGGATTTTCCCGGGTTTGTTATCTCTAAATCTGTTGTTTAAAGCGTCGATCGATCAATTTCTGTACAACTTGAACGTAATAGCGTATCTCCTACAACTTCGAGATTAGAAAGTGTTGCGCTGCGGTCTACGTTTATCCGATTTATATTCGTGTCTCAGTCTCGATGTATAAAAGAATTTGAAGAGAACATCCTTGCTCAAGGAATAAAAAAAAAAAGGAAGAATAAAGTAAGAAAGAAAAGATTTACATCTGGTTACACGATATCTTTCATCGATTATATATACTTGCATTCATGTATACCATCGTTCCGCTCTTGAAATTAAAACATCATTAAAATTAACATGATTGTGCAATTAAACGAAATAGCAATCGAATGTAGAAGAAATATTGCACATAATATTGGTCTTACTACTTTATAATATTACGTTAATAAAATGAACGAACATCAAAGGTG